CCCTAATTCTAAATCCTGCTCCCATGGTGTTTTGAAGTGAGGAATGAACAAAAACATGGCTCCATTTTTCAGATGATCAGACCACACACACTTCAAAACCCTGTCGGTTTCACTCTCAAATCACCAGCCTCACATTTACCCTATTTTAGTTCCATCAGACTACACACACACACATACACACACACATACGCACGCACGCACACACACACACATAATAGCGACAAAAATGCAACACACACACATACACACACACACACCACGGTCTAAAACAACATTAGGAGTCGCTGCCTCTCTTCAGCAGGAATGCTGAGTGGGTCATTCAGCTGTAAGAGCATGACCGACACACCTACACTCTGGATCCATGCACAGCTCAGCTTTGTTTTGTCTCTGCGGTGTGTGTGTGTGTGTGTGTGTGTGTGGGGGGGGGGGGGGGGGTGGGGGGGGGGGGGGGGGGGGGGGGGGGGGGTGGGCTGGTGGAAGTTTGAAGGGCGTTTCTGATTATTCATTTTCTCCACCACATGGTTTAATCATGCGCTATGAAAAAAAACAACAATTTCTCACCTTTTCTTTCTACCCTCTCTCTCACCGCGACTCGCCCTCATCACTTCCTTCCTCTCCACCTCTTCTCTTTTTTCCCTATCACTTCCTCTCTTTATTTGCCTGCTATTTTCCAACCCTAATCACTTCCTTCCCTTCCTGTGTTCTCTCCCCTTCGGCCTGTCTTTTTCTGCAAACGAGAAAATATCACTCACTACTTGCACTCAGAAGGGCTTACAATAGTGTTGGCTCTTTTCCTGTAGACAGCCCCTGACAAACACACACACAGACGCACAGACGCGCACACACACACACACACACACACACACACACACACACACACACACACACACACACACACACTTTGTCCAGGCACTATTTAAAGAGCCATTGTGCTCATAAAGATAAGCCCCAGCAGCCAGAGCACCACAAAGCTGCTGATAAGGTACGTTCTCCTAAACTTGCAACTGTAGAAATTGAATTTACACCAAAATCAGACAACAATAGTATGTGGGTGTCTCATTTCTAAATCGCGCCTGCTTTACAAAAAAAAAACATTCAGTGCTATTATGGTATTTTTTTATACTGTTTTGTAGAAAGAAAAATCGTGTTAGGAAGCTGGAATCTAAAAGGTTTCTCTACTTCAAAGTTCCCTAAAGCAGCAGCAGCTGCTTCAGCTTTCGAGCGACCGTGGGGTTGCAGAGTCAAAGATCTCCTACAGCTTTTTTATTATTTATTATTTATATTTTTCCCCGCTCTTCATTTCTGGAACAGTAGCGTGAGGTGATATGAGCTCCAAATAACAAAGTTTTTCTTCCACTTCATCAGGGAACTGCATGCTGGTACAGTAGATGGGACAGATGGAGGAGACAGCGAGAGCGGCACATAGATGATAAACGATAAGCCCAAAACCAGATAAGCCGTATACAGAGATCCATACTGCGATAACGAGGATGAGGAGAGAGGGACAGAGACAGAGACAGAGAGAGAGAAGAGAGAGAGAGGAAGAGGGAGATAAAGACAGCGAATTAATAAGACAGAGAACACTGAAAGGAAAAAAACAACACAGCCACATCAGCCAAAAAAGGACACGCTGTTCTCGAGACATGCATCAAAAACCAACACAGACATATACAAGGCGACTGTATATTCTGCCATGTTTGGACCCAAGAAGCCACAGCAACTTTAGACAACAAGGTTTACATCTGGTAAAGTGAGAGCGTGGAGTACCTATTTATGGGAGCACTGTCACTGGACGACGCGACACACTCACAGGGAGGGAGGGAAGTCCCAGTCGGGCAGCCAACCAATGGGAACAAGAGAGGGAAGAGGATTGGGTGAATAGGGGGACGGATGGATTGAAGAAAGAGAGAGAGAGAGAGAGAGGATGGGAGGGTGTCGCAGCTTGGAGGTGTAATTTGTAGGGTGGTGATGTCTCCAGGTTGATTTGGTAAGTCAGTAGGTGCAGCACACCTCAAATACCCACCGTCGGCTGGCATGCGTGGCTAACTGCGGTCCAGCTGCTGTGGGTTTACAGACCAGGGCCGAGCAGCATTTCCATTCATTCGTCGTGAAAGTATTTTAATGTGCTTTGCGAACCAGACAGGTGGAGTTTACTGCAGCAGGCCACTTTCAGAGTCAGTGATGTTAGCGCCCTCAGGGAGAAGACTGAGCAGAGCCCTGATTTTAAATTCAGCTTCGTTTCATTTTCTTTCTTTTTTTTTTTTTTTTTGCAGAATTAAAGAGCACCCAGCATCACAGTCGTGTGTAGCTGGGCGTTGTCAGAAGTGTGATGTGTTGCACCTGTAACCACACCCAGCAGTGATGTCATGTTGTACTGACCACACCCAGGAGTACACTTCTACATCACTGGAGCAAGGTGAGGAGATTTAAAGCTGCTCAAAATTTTTCATAAATGATCAGAATTTCCAAAGAATAAATAAAAGGAGTTTAAAACTATATAGAATCATTTTTCATGTTATTAATTTACAAAAAGTGTGACTTCACTGTGCAATTACATCGACTAGATGGAGTAAAACATGATTTCACTCTTCCCATAGGGGAGAAGCCGTTTACGTTTACAGCAGGATACAGTAGTTTGACTTATATCATGACCAGGAGTCTACAGTCCACAACCGAGGCTCTAACCATTTTGAACAATTTCCATATGATGTTGAAGTGCCGGCTGAGTGTTTGTTTCAGCAAACTCCTTCCTGTCCAGCAGACAAAGATTAAAATAAACACCAACAATCATCTGGACAAAGCTGAGAGTTGTACAGAACACAAGAGAAGGTGAGATGAGGGTGACCAGTTCTCACTCACACACACACACACACACACACACACACATACACACACACAGAGTTGTATTTCCTCTCACACTCTGGTATAAAGAACATTTCTGAAATGTGTCTCAAGTGGAAACAATATATGTCCCACAGTGTCAGACAACAGCATTGTTCCAAGAACAACATCGGAATGAACAAGGTGCAAAACAATGGCAGGAGAAAGTGATGGTCACAGGCCACTGACGGATACTTTGCACACAGTGTGTGCCCTCAGGCCTGGATAAAAGAAAGGCACAAAAACAAAAACAAGTCTAAGCAAGTCAAGCAGAATTCATGCAGTGACCCAGTTGTAAGTGTATGCGAAGAGGGAAGACAAACTAGATGAATATAAGGTAAACAACCTCTAACATAACATGCATTTCCCTTCAACAAACATATCTTTATACCCATAACGTTCACATAATAATATCAATGTGATTAAATGGGTATAGGATTATAATAGATTAGCCTTATGCTTGTCTAAAAATGGCTATAGAAAGTTTAATAAATTGGGTTTATTTTGGTTTAACCTTTATTAAAACCCAGATTACTTATGATAAGGCTGGTGTATCAACATGGATGTGACGGATGTGCCGCTGAACAGGGAGATGCATTCATGTGTTTAAGGTTGCTCACATCAGCTGAGAAACACTGGCTCCAGATCTGTTAGGATCCAATACAGCTGCCATTTTTATGCACCAAGTCCACTGGAAGATACCCAGCTTGTCCAGTTTGAAGTGACTGAATGGACAATATATTCACATTTTAATGATCAGACACCGAAGCCAACCTTCTTATCCAAAGACCGTTCAGAAGTGAGGAGTGAGAAGGTGGGGGATCTCTGGGAACATGGCTGCTCTGCTGCAAATATTCAACTGTTCCCAAGACTATGCCTTTAACAACTAGGCAATCTCAACATGTGACTTCATGGAATAGACCAGGTTAAAAGTTAAAGAGAGCTTGTTTGACCCACTGACGGCGAAAAGCAAATGTCTGTGTTTGTGGAACATGAAATATATTCGTGTGGAAAGTTTAACCCAGAGAGACGTGCGGCCTCAGGGGACGGAGAAGCTTCATTCCAGAGGAGATTGTCTGTCTCAATAAAGACACTGACAGACATGCAGTGGTACACAGACATCACTACAACAGGTGGCGAGCGCTGCACAAAGCTGAGAGGTTACTGGGTGGGTGGATAGGCAAGGTTACGATGGTGGGACGATATCAGTTTTTACGCTCATTCCAAACAGAAATTATTCAATATATGTCTTTAATTTTGCCATGATTTCCATATCATATCAGTGACTGCTGACAACACAAAGAATCAAAAAACAATAATACATTTTGAATGAGCAGGAATTAAAAAAAAAAAAAAAAACTTAATTTAAAGACATGTTGTCACTGTTGTGAGCCCCAGTTATAAAAGGCTCTCAGAAACAAGTGTGTTAAACGCCAGATAAACAGAAACACAATGCGAAGTTTTACGGCTCATAAAACATCTTTTACAAACTATATCTCAAGGGCAACTGGCCATGAGCCATCAAACCTGCTCCTCGTCATACAACAGCTAGCGTTCTGTAGTAAAGAGCCAACAGGTTTTAGCTGGACAGGAGTGTGTATTACTTCTAATGGACTTCTCTGTCATTAGTGATATAAATCACTTGGCTTTAAATAGCAGGAGGGGTTTACATTTTGAGAATAGTGGGAATAAAACCTTTCACTCTTCTTCAATATTTTTCAAGTCTCCTGGAGTTGGAATGACTTAATCATCACATTGAATACTGATGTTTTAGCTTCAAAAGCACTTTTTCCGTGCCATGAGGTACATTTAAATGCTGTTCGTTCCAATTCTATTTTGAAATATTGAAAAAGTTTACATGGCTTTGTTTGTTTATTAGGTATAAATTGTAAAAATAAATAAATAAATGAAACTCATCTGATTGCAAATGAGCAATCAGGAAATGTGTGCTGCATTTCTTCATTTCAGAAGGAATCATTCATTCTTTGTGTCCAAAGCCAGCAAATACAGGTGGCCACACACACACACCACACACACACCAGAAAAAATATCACATCGGTGAATTTAATTAAAAAATATGAAACAGCATAGAGTAGTCTGTAGAACAAAGAGAGGCGTACCTTAAAGGCATACTTGCGACTGATGTGGTCCTCGAGTCCCACGGGTGAAATGACATAGCTGGGCAGAGGAATACTGCCTAAGACCGATTCCTCTCTGCTGTCTGTAGAGACAGAGAGAGAGAGAGAGAGAGAGAGAGAGAGAGAATGGGGGAGAGAGAGGGAGGGAGGGAGTAGATTATCAGGGTGAGGAGGGTGAGAAAAGGAGGAGAGGAGATATGGAGGAAAGGAAGGAGCAAGTGAATAAATATCACTCATCACCCACTAATTTCATCACTGCCTGCCACCACTATCACAACACTCACATACACACCCACACGCTCACATGCCGTCATTCATACCGCGGTGCCGTGCCAAGCAGTAAATGACCACTCTGGTATCCCAGTGTCACAGAGCTAAAGCCGGCCTGCTCCGACTGGCAGCCGGCCACCATTCCTCCATCCGTCTATCCGGTATACATGCTGAAAACACACTCGTTCTTCTATATTAGTGAGGACTCAACCCTTCCTTAACCCCAGCCTCTTAACCCTGAAACAGCTCTTTGAAGAAGAAATAAAAACATCCTTCACTCTCAAGGTCTGAAACTCAAATTTGTCCTTTCAAAGATAATAGTACAAACATGAGCCATCAGAACAGCGCCTCTCTTAATTAGTTCACACATCTATAAATAAAGATCTACCAAGTCTTTGTTCGCACATACATACTAGAATGTGTGTGTGTGTGTATCCAATGTAAAATGTCATAATGGTATGAAAATATGTGTGCGCGGCACCTGTGCATGTGTGTGTGTGTGTGTGTGGGTGTTCGGCTGAGAGGTGATAAGGCGGCACTGTGTGGATTAGAGGGGTAATTGGTTAAAAATAATTCAAGGACCTTTGGAGGTGACATTCCCTAAATGGTGGGTGAGACAAGTGAGGTCTTTTTTATCTGCTTCGCCCCGTCTGTCTCACTCACACACACACACACACACGTAAACACACCAAACACTGAGCAGACCAGACCGAGACAAGTGGAGTCAGATTACATCCAAACAGAACAAGAATGGCAGAACTTGATCCGTGTCACTTTACCCATGACGCAAGGTAAGACAGAGAAACCGAGATCGTATCCAGGATTTTGAGAGATTATGAATCCAACTGTGGGATTTTCATATTCTTATTTTATCTGACCATCAGTCCAAAAGCAAAAGAAACTCAGGTTACTGTCAAATATGGCAAACAAACGAAGACATTCAGAAGATTTGAGAAACAAAGAATATGTGACACGTTTGCTTGAAAGATGACCAAATTGAGATGATCAGTTGAAATAGTTGCTACTTTTATGTCGTGACATTTTTCTGTCAATCGACTCATCAATTAAAGGTTCTGTAAACAAGATTTTAAACAATAAAACAGCAGGAAACTATTATCTATGCAAAGATACAGTATAGTAGATTAATGGCGTCCTGAGCAGAGAACGAAGTCACACCCCCTCTATATGTGTTGTGATCTGAGCTAGTGCTTGTTAAACCGTTACTGTTAAACACACAGCGACCGCCCACAGGTGAGATGGCATAGTGCAGAGTTTAGGTGAAAGTGACCCTCCAGAATTTCCTCCACAGAACAAACCATGTTTTTCATCTAAAAAGCCTTCAACAAAAAAAGGGATACGACCAGAGCACAGCTAGACAGGCTATGGGAACTACCGGCTCAAATGCCAGTCGGCCAGTGGACCATCAAAACATCAAGTTTTTACTTGCTCCATCAGTGTCTGTACCTGCTCCATCAGTGTCTGTACCTGCTCCATCAGTGTCTTTCATGCAGCAGGTCCCAGTGGATAAGCTGAACGGAGGCCAGAGGTGTGGCCAAGGAAACATTTGTTTAGGTATGAGATGCTGGAGGTCTGGTGCGACAACTAGTTGCAGTGACAATCGTCTACAGAACCAAAAACTTTAGCTTTTTGTTTTTTACTCAATTAATTGCTCCTCCCTTATTTGTTCCTTCTTTTATGTATCCATGTGTTTCTTTAGGTCTTGTTGGATAAGGAAGAGGTGTAAATACTGGAATAAAATTTAATTCAGGTAGTGACCAAAAAAAAAAAAAAAAAACTCCAGGACAAGACCTCTACCTTGTGAACAGAAAGCCTCAATCGATAAAGGCAATAATAAAACAACAAAGATGCCGTGAAGAGGTTTGGTTGTTTGTCTAACAACATGAGATGAAGGGAGGGGATAAGTGGTGCTGCAGACAGATCAAGTGTGTTCATGTTGAGAGGAGAAACCTTTGAACTGAGCGAGAAAGATAGAGAGAAGGGAGGAAAAAGAAACAACTGAGGATTGATTTCATCCTCCTGACGGGGCGAAGAGGTGCAGGAGTGTGTCCCAAAGGGTTCAGTTAAGAATATGGAGATGAAAAGGAAACGCGTGGAGAGGCAGATAAAGACAGCCGAGGGACGGAGAATGATGGTGAAGTGTGGTGTAGCTGTGTGTGTGTGTGTGTGTGTGTGTGTGTGTGTGTGTATGTCCATATCTGTTCATGTGTTTCAGCTGTAACCCGCTGAGAGATAGATCAGATTAATGCCCACCCAGACTGAATCAGTGGCTCCTGTGGCAGCTGCAGCTCACTTCAAATCCAGCATCATTACAGCCCAATTCAAACTGAAAGCTGTCATATTTTCATTAATATTACCTCTGGTAGTGCGTTTAATAGTTTGTTAAAGACCATTAGCTCTCACCACATATCACAGTCTTCATCTGCAAGTGTAGTTTGCTCAGTTGTCACGGAGATGGTTGAGTTATCACCTTTAATGCTCAGGCTAAAATGTGATTCGTGATCTAGGCTCACAGCTACATGTCCCGCTGCCTTCTGAGTTTATACCAGATCAACTTTTTCCAACTTGCTGCTACAACTTGCTGTGTGACCATGGCAACCACAGAAACCACAAAACCACACCATGGGAAACCAAGCAGCAGCCGACCCGAGTTCCCTTAATGATACACCTCTTCACCAGCAGAAAAGAAACAGATCAGTGGAGAGAAACGTCTGATTGTCTGGCAATAAACAACATTTTTGATACTAGTTAACAAAACCTGCTATATTAATCGTGTCCTGCTCTATTTAGCAGTGTGATGAGGTTAAACTATAGGTGAATAGCAGTTGCCTGTGGTGGACAGATTGGTAAAATCAGAGGTATCCAGGAGCCATGGAGGCAAAGTTGCTGCTTGTTTTCTCCTTTTCAGTAACATCTAGAAAAACCATTTGTACTGCAGATCTTCCCCTTACTGTGACGGCGGTTCTGTATCACAGTGAACGAATCGATGTAAAAATAGCAAATGCACGGGAGCAAACAGAGATAACCTGGATGTAACTCAGGTTATGTAAGTACATGCGTAGGCCAGTGTCACTCTGTCACAAAGTGAAGTGAAACAGTCACTGTGGGGGACCTCATTCACTGATAAAGACTATAATATGAAGCTGAAAGCCCCAGAAAAGGGTTGTAGATGGGCCTTGAGTAAAGATTATTTACTCAGTTCCAGTGTCAAGACTGGACTTCACTGCTCATTGGCCATCTTGTCATTTATTAAGCACGTTAACCACAATATCCTCTGTCGCTGAAGGGAAAATGACACAATATCACTGAAGTAAAGGTCATAAACTTTTTTGTGTCATTTGAAAATTAAAAAAAGATTTTGTCCTAAAAACAGTACCATTTCGTAAGATATGTGCAGCATTAAAGTTCCTCTCCAGACTATGAAACTATGAAAAATACTCATACTCAATACTCAAAAATGATTAATATTTTGTTTAATGTGGTTTTCCAAACTAAAAAGTGAAAAAAAAAACAAAAAAACATCTATGCTTACTTCCTCATTGAGAAATTCTGGATTGGGCCTTGTGCCCCGCCCACCACTGCAGTTTATGCTAGGTTAACAGGTGAAACAGCAGTGCATATCAAGATGGTTAACGCCGGAGAGACTCAGCTTCATGTTTCAGCCTCAGTCAGACCCAGACTCAGGAGTTTGTAGAGGAAAGGAATTTGTTGTCGGACAAACAGCAAATTCAGACGGATCAGAACAGTTAGCGTAGTTAGCATCTTTTATTTGTTCATGTTGTTTGTTAGCTTTTAACTGGCAGTGGCTGATACAGTGTTAGTGGTTGTGCTAATGCCAACTCTCTCTCTCTGTACTGACAAGGTTTCAGGTTTATTTAGCCCCGCCCCCTTGTACCTGCAACCTGAAAGGATTGGTTCCTTAGGTTTGTGACATATGAAACCCTGGCGGTCTGAATCTGTTTTTATGACACTGTTATTGGTTCACTGCAGTTCAAGGTGGAAACACTCAGTCATGGTGTTGACTGTTTATTTCACTCATGATGTTTCATCATGTATCATATAAAAACATCATATGGACACGATAACAAGGGTAAACACTTGATCTTCATTGGAGGAGGTTTTAAAAATAGTCAACAGTGAATTCCACTTTTATCGCAGCAAACTGAGCTAGTGACACGATTCAACCTCTCTACCACCTCGCGTAGTCTTAGAGGTGTTTTTGTTTTGAAGTGCATTATGTTCTACAGTGTGTCAGACTCACCTTTGTAGTAGAACAGACAGAAATCGGCCAGGACGAACCACTTCCTCTTCCAAAGACGCATCCCAGAGCTGTCCTGCAGAGAGAAAGAGGGGTAAAGAGTGTAAGTCATGAATGAATGAATAATGAGATGGAAAGCAGCGCAGATTGTAGCGATAACAAAAAAAGAATAGACAGAGATCATACATAGGAAGAGAGAGGGAGTGTAATGAGAAAGATGATGGGAGAATCTGAAAAGTAAAGAGACAGAGAGGAGTAGTGATGAGACAGCGGATGCAGTAAGGAAATGGGGGTAATGAAAGGAAGAGTGAGGTGGAGAGGAGCAGGGATAAAGAGAGTGAACAGGAAAGAGACGGAGGGTGGGAGTGATCGTTTGTCCTCGTTCGCTGGCTCGCTGGGCCTGCCACTGCTGCTTTACTGCCCATTTCATCTTTTATGTTCTCTGGCTGGTAATGGTGCCGCTTGAGGAGCAGAGGAGATACAGGAGGGATGAAATCACCTCAAACACAGATCTATGAAGCTGCAACCGTGCAACCCAGTGTGTGTGTGTGGAGAGGGAGTAAATGGCTTCCAGTCCTTTAGGTCATGAGTGTGTGCATCTGTGTGTAGTTGTTTGTGATCATTTTTGTACACGCACAAGTTACGTGTACACTTATGTGCATGTGAGACTGCATGTGTGTGTGTTTTCATGCACTGTGTGTGGATCTGAGCGACTCTGGCTGTGCACCGACTTGCGTCTGCGTATCTGCTTGTGTCACCATGTATATCTGTGTGCGTGCGCCTCTGTGTGTGGTCATTAAAATATAATTGCTTCGCAGGAACATCACTCACTATTTGTCTAATATGGAGGCCAACAGCTTTCCAGTGGGACGATGCCAACTTCAGATAACTTTAAATAAACACACAGTCTCCGGTTATAGCCTGTGTGTGATCAACAGCAGGTGCTCTATAACGCCAAAGAAAAGAAAAAAAAAAAACATCCAGAGAAAATAAAACTAGGCCATTGGAGGAAAAAGCTGGAACTCATCCTCCTGTGTAAAAGAGACACTAACAGACCAGACTGTCTGTCAGTTCTGTCCAGAGGGAGGTACCTGATTCATCCATTCATATAGTAATAGCGTCTTGCTTCAGCTGTGTTGCTACATGTCTGCAATTATCTGACATAACTGTGAAGAAAAGCTCAATTTAGAGTTAATCAATCGTGCGATTGGCTGATTAGTTGATCGACAGAAAATTAAATGGCAACTATTTTGTGAATTGGTTCAGTGATTTTCTCTGGCCCCAACTTCATTTTTCTGTTTTACATTGTATCACTGTAAACTGAAAATCTTTGTGTTTTGAACTGCTGGTCAAACAAAACAACTTTTGAGGATGTCGTCTTGGACTTTTGTAGGTTGGGATGGGCTCCCAGGAAAGAGGATAATGAGTGAAGTATTCGGGTGAAATAAAATAAAGTAAAAAGAAAAATATATTGAGTTTCCCTCCTGTTTTCAGCCTGAAACCTTAATCTGTCATGTTGACACTGCTGCACATCCGTCTGTGCAGTTATCTTTGTGCAAGTTTACTTCTTCTTTTTGGTGACATTCAGCTTCCCCGGTGCAGGTTTTCATAGCCAGGGGTCAGTTCATTAAGGCCTCAACCTGCCTTCACTGGCTATCCAGCTGTGAACACACCCCACCTCTACACATAACCATACGGACATGTTGAATCTCTAAATTCATTAATGCTTGTAACCTAAGACCTTTCTTCAGAAATTAGAAATTTTCTGCATGGATAGTTGTTATTCAAAGTCTTAATTTTGGAATATGGCTCAGTAAAATATCTTGATTTGTACTGTATGTTAGGGTCAGAGTTGTTACTGTGTGTGTGTGTGTGTGTGTCCTCACCTGTTTGTACAGCCATCCTCGGACCACCACAGGAACATTAGGATTCCTCTTGATGGCCTGTTCTCTCTTCCCAAAGCTGTGCACCTTGCCACTGGAGCGGGAGCCCTGCACACACACAAACAGGTGTAGAAGGTTTTCATGGAGTGTAAGAAAAGTCCACAGCAATGGCTGAGTAGCAGATAATGTTACAAATGACAAGAGCTCAATGGCATTTCTTTCCCTTTTTTTTAAAAAAAATATGGACCTGGAGAAGACAACTTCATGACTCATCCAACAGTTATGTGTTATAGAGTCACTTTCTTAATTAATTAGCCAATCAAAACATTTGCTCAGTAAGTTTTTACACAAAGTTTGCTCAGTAGCAAATGTTAGCATTTAGCTGCAGTGCTAATGCTAATCTGATGGTACCAAAGACAATGTGTAATATTTAACTGATGTACTGTCTGTAGCAGAGCTAAAGTTGGGATTAGGGAAGCTGACAGCTCCCTATGTCACAGTATATTCATTTTTTGTCTGCGCCTCTCAGTCTTACTTACAATCTTTTTCTGCTCCAACTGTTACATAATTACAGCCATTATTTGAGCACAGCCAATTTTCCACTGGACCTCAGTGACAGTGCCAGCCGTGGTTGCTATGACATTTGTCAGCCTCTGTGGACTATCATGTAGGAGGTTAGAAAAGTGGGCTGCGACCTGCAGCTCACTGGTTCGTCTGCCACACAGACACCAGCTGAAAGGTCCGGGCAGTGAACCTAAACGGCTGCCATCAAAGAGAGCGAGGCAATAACTCCCAGAATGCTTCACTGTCAGCAGTAACAGACTCTGGTGGAATTGGATGTATTTAACTTTGTAAGTTAAAAGCTCAGCATTACTGATGAAGCCAACTTTTGGCTGTTGAATTCCAAAAATAGCCAGAGTATGTTAGAGTGTCCTTCAGACTCACCACGAACTGGTGCAACTGCAGTATTTCAGCTTAGGTTTGAATGACATTGTAAAGGTCACTATTTAAGCAATTCATTCCTTTAATTAATTTCTATATCTCTATTATCATTACCTGCCCGTCCTGTGCAGGATCATGGGAGAGCCTATCCCAGCTCACACAGGGGCAGAGCAGGGCCGGGCTAACAAACTCTGGGGGCAAAAGCATGACGCTCCCGTTGACCCCCACGTGTTACCCACTCTTTGTGCATTGTGTATGATTTGTGCAGTTATTTAGATGCGGCATGTAATGAAGAGTAGTGCACTCGTCTAAGAGGAGGAAAACACTGTTGGAAGGAGGAAAGAGCCTTCAACACAAGAGCAGGACAAACAGGAAGGGAAAATGGCTTCAAGTACAGTGACAAGACTATTTCTCTTTAAATGTGACATCCATTGTGATGAATACAGCTGATTTGACTACATGACCGTAAACGTTCAGATGTTTTCGGTCATGTAGTCGAATCAGGAGAGGCTCCACTCGGATTACACAACAGTGTTTAAGTTGTAGTCCAACTGCAAAGTTCTGAAACTTCTGAAGAACAGTCTGAACAGATGTGTGCATAAACATGAACTCCAACTACATCTCTGCTGAAAGTTATTGAATTGAAACAGTTGTGACATGTTTTTCATCTGGCACAGATGATACAATGGAAAATGGACCTGCAAGTGTGATATTTTATTTTGAATCCTCTCTAGTTTCTCCCCTGACTAATGACAACCACATTCCTGCCCCTTCACTAGGGAAGCTTTGTTTTTTTTGTTTTTTTGATAGAAAAAAATGTAAACACTATCAGGGGGGCGTCACGATGGCCGAGTGGTTAGGGCACGTACCATATGGACGTAATGAGTCCAGTTCGACTCCTGAGCGGCTGGACCCTTTACTACATGTGTCTCCCCCTCTCTCTGCTCTGTTTCCTGCCTCTCTCCACTTTGCCCATCAAATAAAGGAATAAAAACCGCCCCAAAGATAAGTTATAAATGAGTAAATAAACTATTATTTTTTTATTATTATAAACTGTTATTTTTCTGGATTAATCCAGTAAATGTTGATTCTATAAAATGAAAATTGTAAAACAGGACTAGCAAGGGTCAGCTGAGTCAATACAAAAATAGCTGAGGTCTATTAGAAGTGTTTAACTGTTGTTGTATTTGCTGTTGTTCCGGCCCATTGAGCTATAATTGTGTCAACTGTACAAAGGCACTGACATTGATTCATCTTTCATTACAGACATTTAAAAGATGCATGGCTGCTGGTTGTCTCTCTCGCTCTCTCTCTCTCTCTCTCTCTCTCTCTCTCTCTCTCTCTCAGCAAACCGTGACATTACTGTGTTATTATTGTGTTGGTGTGTTGGTGTGTGCTTGCCTGCTGTATAAGCCAGCAAACATACACTGTGCACATATTCATGAAATCTCATTACACCGTCCTCTATTCTGAGACCTTTGAAGAAAGACAGCTCCCCCTGGCTGTGCACGCAAACACACGCACGCACGCACGCACGCACACACACATACACATCAACCCCTGCCACCTCCCTCTCACTGTTATCATAATAAAAGATTTGGTGTGACGGCAGCATGAGTGTGTATATGGAGTGGCAGCAGCACTGGGAGCCATTCACAGCTGGAAAACAGCAAACACACTCACTAATTAGAGGGAGGCTGGTTAGCCAAGCATGATGCAAACACACAGAGCAGCTCCCACACTGTCACATTGGAGTCCCTCATCTGTAAATGTACAGTAGGTGTATGTCCGTGCATATTTAATATGGTTGTCTCTGCCTGTATGTTTGTGTCTGCAAGTGTGTGTGTTTGTGTGTGAGTGTGTGTGTGTGTCTGTGTGTGTGTGTGGTGTGTGTTGTGTGGTGGGGGGGGGGGGGGTTGTGGGTGTGTGTGTGTGTGAGATGCAGTGGTCTATTTTTAGGCCGAGGGTAAGTCTGTGGAACAGGCTGTGGTCCCTGCTGCTGCAAAGTAGCACTCTGTCTTGTAGGTGAGCCACTCAGGGTGCAAAGCAGCTATTTGTTACATTAATGCTTCACCATCAGACAAACCTAAAAGCCTGAAGAGCCCTGTCTGAGACCTGTGGGTTGCCGGTTCAAATCCCTAGCTGGACGAGAACGATCTGGGAGGGTGAGGTAATTAAATGAGAGCGGTGCTCCCCCCCCCCCTCTCCCTTTAGAAAAGTGTTTGAGGTGTACTTACACTGACAGACTGGGATCAGACACCTGATCCCAGTCTGTTCAAGTGGATGTGATCAGTGGCTAACAGCCGCTGAGTGTAGTGGAACATGACAGCTCAGTCACTCTGGGTTACTTTTACTGAACTGATCACCCAGTTGTACAAGATTATTTAGTTCAAGTTTCTCAAATGAGAAGATTTACTGTTCCGTGTTTTATACTAATGTAAACTGAATATCATTGGGTTTTTGAATGTGATCACTGCAAACCAGTGCAGAAGGAAAGCGCACAATAAGATGATGTAATTAACTAAATAATAATAAAATACAGCATTTCTGTTTGTTTCATGTGTTAATCTGATCTGACCTCACGGTTTAAACAGTCACTCTCTTTCCAAAACAGTTTGTCACATTTTGATCATACACCATTTTTTTTTAATTTTTGGCTTTTCCAAATGCACATAAAAACAGTGGCTGGAAATGGAAATGCACCTAATTTGAGCTCTTGGAGATCGTGATGGGCATATTAACTTTTTTTTCCTTTAAGTTTTATAAAAGTTCAAAGAGGCTCAGTTGAGCAAAATGTCCTCAAGCCGAGGTCCAGAACGTCGGGGGGAGGGGTTGAACTGGGGGGATTATAAATAACTTTTTAACTAACTTTAATAACAATTAGGGCCTGAGCACCGACTGGTGTGAAACTGTAGTGATAATTACATTTTTGTTTTCATTTCAAGGAAATAGGAAATAAGCACTGTAATAAGTAATAAGTACAAGACAGAGAGCTTTTGAAAAATGTGCATCTTCAAATGAAGTGTTCAATAATGATCTAAAAATTGTAGCTTGACTTTCCTTTTTTTTCTGTGAACTCCATTTCACATCTTCACAGTCTCAACACATCCCTACAACTGAAAAGCTTTGACACCTCCTTTTCTCTTTCTTTCCCTCTTATATCCCAGTCTCCCCACTTATTTCTCCAACACTGACAAGAGCGGCAATGATTGGCTGCGTAGTGTCACGTGACCAGTTCTGTAAAGGCTAGAAACTGTGCCTGTTAAAATTGAAATGCTTCGTCAAAATTGAACGATTCTCAATCATTTACAGGCTATAGGTCCTGGTCCGGACAGGATGGCATCTGGGTCCCGATCCGGGCCGCGGTCCACCTATCAGTGACCTCTGTTATAGACTAAAAGTTTAACTGTAAAGCACTGACAGATTAATCAGTGGTGAAATGACTTGCTGATCTACTGTATTTCTCATGATGAATTAGATCTAGTAGATGTTGAGATACTGGATAGTACGAGTGAAATGTTTGATCCGCTGGTGACGCTGCAAGAAAAGTCAGAGGATCACCAAAGTCATTAGGATTCATCCTTGGATATCACCATGGATACCTCGGCTGGATTTCATGGCAGTTCACCTGATAGTTGTGGAGAAATTTAAGTCTGGACCAAAGTGGTGGACCCACAGACCCTGGAGCGATGCCACTAGCAGGGCTTAGAAACAGCCTAATTCAAGACTTTAAAAGTTGGAGTCAGGAACACAAAGTGATGAGAGGTAAAATCCATAGGTAATGGATTTTCAAATGTGAGCTGCTCAGCACAAACAGTCTCCTACTTGTCACCGTTTTTAACTGTGTGAATGTGTAACTCCCCAAACTGAACAAAATCACAAACCAGAAACAGAAAATCGGCTGCAGGATGACTGATAAAGGATTTGAGTTGGTCGGACTGAAGAACGGGACAGAATTTGGAAGGAAGAGCCTTTCCTTAGTGGCAGTAGGTAAGGGAGTGTTAGAGACCTTTAAGTGAGAAACCAATCCTTTAACCAATCTCTGGCCAACAAAAAGTTGGCTAATCATGTGTTTAAATGCTCAAACCAGCACTTAACGTTAAAGAGCCAATAACACTATTTTCAATTATTGAGGCAGGGAAGCGACGAGGGCACGTAAAGGCACATGAGGGATCTCCTAAACGAATGTTGTGAAGACTGGTATGAACAGAACATCACTAACTATGCATCCATCGACACACAAAGCGCTCAAAGGAGAATTGTGACACATAACTCGTGGGAGAAACGGGATGATTTCTGCCTTGGCGCTCCCTCTGATGTTGTGTCAGAGGCGGAATGAATGTGACTTACTCAAAATGTGGATTCATTTCTTGATGCAACGGCAAAGGGGGACACGAATGACTCATCTTTCCTCTGAGACAAGGATTCTTTTGTTAAGAGTTTTTCTTGCCAGAACGAGGCCTCTGCGCTATTTTCCTGCTGTTCGATGGCAGGGGTGATGAGCCAGAGCACCTGGGAGGGCTGCCGGCCAGGAAAAAAACGCGAGGCGTGGAAACGGCAACGGGCCATTGTGATGGATGCCCTGTCATCTCTGCGCCGCACCCGATGACACATGTTCAATCTTAGTCCCGCGGCACCTGTTGATAGGGTCGGATGAGATTTCACGCCACTGTGGAGCTCTGTGTGTGTGTGTGTGTGTGTGTGTGTGTGTGTGTGTGTGTGTGTGTGTGTGTGTGTGTGTGTGTGTGTGTGTGTGTGTGCATGCGTGCGAGTGAGTGAGAGGAAGTGTGACATATAGACTGGAAGAAAGCAAAGTGACAAGGAGAAGGAGTGAGCCACTGAAAACGAGAGGATTTATACCAAAGACAGGAAGTGAGGCTTTTCACTTCCTATCCAGCCATCTATCCCCCATCGCAAGTAACGTAACCTACATGAGATCTGCATTTGGGAGCTGAAATTGGAATTCGTCAGCATCACTTACACTGAGCGGCTTCACTGAGTTTCATCATTTTTGGCAGCAACAGCAAATTGCCTGAGACAATGACAGCTTGAAGGACAGTAAGACACGAGGTGAAGAGTGGAGAGAAAAGTAAAGGCTCCAAAACAAATCTAATTGTGTCGTCTTTTGTTTGTTGTTGCTGGCACTGTCAGTTGATATTGAAATGTGTGTGGCTTATGTCCCAGAGTTGATATGAGCAGTGAGATAAAGCAAGTCTGACACGAGCCACATTTTAGAATTCAGCATGAAAATCTGCAGTGTGAATATAATCAGAAAAAAAAACACACACATACACTGACAAATACAAAGAAAAAGAGAGGAACAGAGATGGAAGATTTTCCTTTTTTTTCCTCCTCAACTGATAAACTGAAACCAAATCTATTCATCATTAAGGTTTCTAATGCAACACACTGAAAAGGTTCATCAATCTGTAATTAGCTGCATGTTGTAAATAACTCTCAAAATAACTGCTTATCACATTTGAGTACAACTTTAATGCTACTAGTTGTTAGTTGTTGGAAAAAAAAAAAAGCAGGAGCTACTGAGCTCACTTAATGAAAAGTCTGAGACAATGCAGCCTTCTATGCTGAAACTGCCCCTCTCTTCCTGTATGACAGGCAGGTAGCAGTCCGTTATAATCACGTCACCTGCCGGGCTCTGAGTCCCGCTTTAATCAACTGAGAGACTACGCTGACCCCACCGTCACCAACCCTCCACCTCTTTCTCCAATTAAGCCTCGCGTCCTGGTTCCTGCGAGTCTCTCAGGGATCTCGGTCAACTGCAGAAGACCTCTAAACCCCCATTCATCATAATCATCATCCGCCATCCACGGCTGGCATGAGTCGGCTGAAAACGGCAGCTAACCAGGTCAGACAGCGGCCACGAAGAAAGAGCGAAGGCTTTAGTGCTGCCAAGTTATTACATGCAACTGTTACACGTTAATATGTCTAAAAATGACTGGACCTATGTTATAGATTTTGTTGAGTTGTGTACTTTCCAGCAATTTTCCAATCTAGAGAAGTACCTGATTTTAATGAAATCAGTGACATCATATCCCCTACTTGCATGTGTCAGTGTTGTGGTTGCCTGCTAGAAGCTCAGCATGGACTTTTATCCAGTTTTAAGCCACATGCTTAAGATACGCTTTTACACCTCGCTTGTTTTCAACTATGTTTTTTTAACCAGATGAGGGATCTTAGCCATCAGATATCTGGATCTTAAATTATCAAAGAAAAAAGCCAAGCAAATGTTAGACAGCTCAGCTCCCAGCTCCTCCGAGACGTCCTGTGTCCGCTGAACAGCATCGGTGAATCACTGACTTTTAACATGAAACTGCTTTTTTCAGGGCTTCTACTGGTCTTAATCTTGTAGTCCGTTTGTTATGGAGAGGAGGACACCTTTGTGGATACTTCGGCTGCTGTTAAAAACCTCCTGAACGTCTGGTTCATAAGTTATCAAAGAAACAGTCGAAGAAGGTAACCAGTCTCAGCTCCCGACCCTTCCCCGATGTCTCTGTCCGCCGTACAGCGTCGGCGAAACACTGACTTTTAATGTGAAACTGCTTTATTGATTGTTTTTGCCGGTTACAATGACCGGAGAGGAGGAGACCTCTGTGGTAAAAACCTCCTGAACGACTGACACTGAACGAATCCAAACCAGGAGAAGCTGACAACAATGATGATGAAGACAACAACTCCCATCATCCCATGCTACTTTCACGAAGTCACCCGACGCCGTTTTTTTGTTATAGTTTTAATTGAGACACCCCTAGAGGCAGAAGAGGTTACACACTGTGTGTTTAGGGTGACTACTTTATTCTTATACTGTGCATCTCATCTGAAGATGAAAACAAAGGGGAGCAGGAGGAGACAGTTGGACAGAGTCATTTAAGAATATTGGGGTTAAACGAGGTCAAACGAGAGCAAAATGAATAAATAAAGTGAATGCATGACTGGATCCTAATTCACTGCTTTAAAGGTGAGAATGTTTGCTGGCTGAAGCACCTCAGGCTTGATTCCCCACTGCTTAAAGAGCCTGATGTCAGAGGCGCAGCTGCCGGCTTCAGGGCAAAAACACTGTCAGAAGACTGAGAGGGTCTGCGGCTTCCACCCGGCTCATTAAAACAGTGTGCTGTGTTTAACATTTTAACAGCAGTTACCACATTAGTCCACTTGACTTCACCCATCAAAACAATTAATGTTAGCAACCAAGACCAGCGCTGAGCTGACTGTTAATGCTCTGCTTGCCTCTACACTGCATTTAAAGTTTGCATTGTGTGTGTTAGACAGTGATACAAAGGATCTGTGCAACCTTTGACAGCTGATATAATGTCAGAGCAAAGACCATTTTGCACCTGCCCCTGACTTTCTTTACTCTGCTCTCTTCTGTCTTTTTAAACCAACATTAAACTCTGGACGATAACTGACCTCTTCATGTCAGTTATTGTGGTGATTTCCTGTCTTACACTACTCCCCTGATACAGATATGGCTCTAACATTTGCACCTCAGTTTGGAAACTGATGAATTTAAATGTGTTCTGCTCTTGCAAATATTTCATCAACTACATGACAGTGGTTTGTGTGACAGAGCTGAATGTTAAAGAATGTCTCAACAACCTGAAGCTGTGTTTAACACAAAGCTTTATTTTCTGCCTTTAAAGACTTTAAAACCTAATTTAACTGAGTCCAGTGTATCATTCTCTTCACTGGCTGAAGCCATGATCATGATCAATGACTGAGGTGCAGCTGCAGAGGATTTTCTGACAGAATAACACATTATAATTTTATTTCTTTCAAAGTTAGACCCATACTATGTTTGTTGTAATTCACTGTGTTGCCACCGATTTAATAATAAATTATCAATATGCACACATGTACACAAACATTATAGAATCACAGACAGAGACACCCCCCCGCACACACACACACACACACACACAGGCTAACCTTGGAGGCGGAGGTGGTGTCCACAGTGGAGGAGGTGATGGCAGTGGAGGCCTCGCTGATGGTGGTGCTGGAGAGCTGCTCGCCCGCCGGTTTGGACATCATGCGAGCACCCTGCGGCCTAGACAACAACACAGCACAGAAAACACAGCTTTTTCAACAAAAAAAAGGCTATTTTTTTCCTTTTTATTAGCATATGAAAAGTTACATAATACTAGTATTAAACCAGCAAACGAGTGAACCAATCATTTCTGACCCTTTCAAACCAATTTAAACTCTAAACGTCAGCCAAAAGCACTGTTAATATCCTTGAACTTCAACTGTACTCTTTTGTTACAACACAAATAGCATTCAGTGTTAATACAGCAGTGACAGATTGAAGCGGCCATAATTAGCTTACATCAGAACAAAATCATAACAGCAACAGCGAAACAAATATTGAAACAAAAAAAACAAACAAAAAAAAACCTTTTTCAAATTTGATTTATATTTATGGCTCAGTGCATGATCTCACACTTTTTCTTTTAAGTGTTCGGTGGCTCGGCCTATTATCCAGTCTACAGCCATGGTTACACCCACTGAGGGTGTGGTGACTGATTACTGCCTTTATTCAGCTTCGTTTGGAACTTTATTATTTGGGGGGGGGGGGGTGTATGGTAATTTGTTTCCACTCATGTTTCACAATCATCTGCATCTTTATTGTTAGAGAAAACTCAGTCTGACCTTTTGTACAAGTATTTTCTTGTCATTTTGGTGATTACAATGACAGCTCATTATCATCAGGCACAATTCAAAGAGACTCCAATAAAGTATGAGAAATAAACAATGAGGAGGTAAAATGAAATGCGTGAGGTTTGCTGAAGAGGAAGAGTCAGGACAGAGGATGTGTCAGATTAACATTTGCTTCTAGAGTTCAGGTTAGAATCAGGTTAGGGTTAGGCATTCATTTGTGATGGTTAAAGTTAGGGTAAGGGTCTAGGGAACGCATTATGTCAATGAGTGTCCTCACAACTGAGATAAGACAAGCATGTGTGTGTGTGTGTGTGTCTGTGTCTGTGTCTGTGTGTGTCTAAACCAGACAGCTAACATCTGACAGTGAGGCAGCTGAATGACCTGAAGCCAGGACGGCCTAAATTTTCTCCCTGTCCCCACAGCACACACCTTGGAGGGCAATGAATAAAGTCTCTCCTGTGAGTGTTTACGTGTGTGTGTGTGTGTGTGTGTGTGTGAGTGCGCGTGTGTGCATGTGTGCACAAGATCTATTTTGCCTTTCCACCCTCAGGTTGGTGCAGACCTATTACCTTACATGACCGTTTCACAGGAGGCTGATAAATTTACTCACAAACCAGATTCACAGCAGAAAAATAAAAGCGCACACAGCAGGAGACTGCATTATATAACTGTGTACTTCAAAAAGAAATTAGCACCAGGCTCTACACTGAAGTTTTCTTTCAATTATTCTGATGCTTCCAAAATGACTGGTGTGTTGGATTGAATCTGTATTATGTTTCATGATGGAAATAGGAAGTGTTTTCATGGCATTAAGCCTTTTATGCCTCAGACAGAGAGGAACAGGAGAGGATATGAGGAGAGGTGGGAGAGGTGACTGTTGCCAGAGTATAGACTCAAACCAGGGACATCACAGAGGAATGCTGAGTCAACAAAGAGTTTTGCCCTAATTGCCCCCAATTACATCATTAAATAAGTAAATGTATGTGAACAGCGTCATTGGCCTGCAGCAGCTACGACTTCAACGTCTATTCCCTCCATAGATTTACAATCAGCTGCTGAAACAGTGACAGCAGTGGGCAGATTTTGAACTGATTATTATGAATTCAACAGATGAGATCAGGTCGTCTGCGTCAGGGGTCAGCAAGTAAGTTTGGCCCCCAGGGCAATTTTTTTTCTAATCCATTAGATGTCAGGCCAGAACATAATCAAATTAATTAAGCAACACACATGTGCAATATACCTCATATGCTGCTTTTGTAAAGGGTTAGGAATTGTACATATAATATCATTATCTATTATTTATCTTTTTAAGTATTTGTTACTGTCATTTTGCAGTTCTTCTTTCTTGTACTGTCCACTTTGCTGCTGTGACACTGCACATTTCCCCAGTGTCCTATCTCATCTCACTTAAGAAATTGATTGATAAAAATGCAACTGGAATTTTCTGTTACTGTTCACATGTAGCGCTGTCGCTCACAGTCACATATTCGTACATTATATCACACATCGTACTGTATGTCTGCTATTTTAAAGGTCCGTCAATCAGGCAACAGAACCTTTGGACTTTCCTGCCAGAACACGTTTCAGAATAAAAGCTCACAATAGCTTCGAATAAAACATTGCTGCAAAAAAGAAAAAAAAAAACAAACAAATTTTCTCACGCTTTACTTTTTCAGCCCGTAGAGGACCATGCGACCATTATTAACACAAATAAAAGCACGTCAGACTACACAACTGGACTGCATATGTTGTTGCATGTGAGCAGGAATATGCAGCATTTCATTCATGCGGACAGTGCACAGTAAGTGAGGGAGCAATGCGAGCGGTGTGAGGCCAGAACAGGTTGTACAAACAGCTCCAGAGCTGCGTCAGCTGTGATCAAAGGACTGTGAATGAACGAGTCGCTCCACAAAACAAACTATTGAGGGATCAGTAACAAGCGTGACACCCAGACCTTTCTGAAAACATCCTGTACAGCGGTTTCATGAATTGTGCTCGACTATAAAGAAAAAGAAGAACCTGGCATTAAAATCGTAAATGCAACTTGGGTCTGAGTTCAGGTTCGAGGTTCAGTCTTTCTGTTCATGCGTTTGCTTCTCAGTCTGAGACACGCTGCTAATCTTAGACTGGTTTTCAACAGGTGCTTCCCACACATACATCCAGTGATTTATGTGCACAGCTCACAGCAACATCCAACAAACGTCACCTCAAACAGACTTGCTAACAGGCTACAATAAAAAATGAACAGATCCTCTTGTCTGCTGTCTTTTCTATTGCTTACTGAGCTTTTGTTTCAAAAAGAGAAAAACCAACTCTCACTGGAGAATATGGTCTTATTTATTTTATGGTATGTTACGGATGGTTATGTTGGTCAGGTTTCCAAGGATACAGGTACAGAATGAAAGCCTTTAAATTCATTAGCAAACAGCTTGGCAGCTTCAACAACTACACAATAATACCTCTGTCTAATTCTTCATGTTTAGACAGATTTATCTGTATGTTACCGACAATCAACCACACTGAGTTCTTGTTAGAAGCTGGATTATCATTCAGATCCACTGAGGCCCAGAAAGCTGGAAAATTTCATCATCTGTCAATAAATTCACGATAATTGGATTAAATGTTCATTTGTTTCGCCTGCGAACAATTTGGAAATCTCCATTAAATGAGAGTTTTCACTGGTTCTTATACTTGACTGTGCATCGCCTGCTGATGAGCGTCCATCATACACAGATCAAAGACATTACACCAAACACAGGACAAAGACACATCAGCAGTATCAACTGAATTGACTGTATGGATCTTGAAGTGTACGCAGCCACAGTGAGCAGTGACTCTTCTACATGTACAATGCTGATCATGTGTCTGTCAGATGTGACAGACACAAAAATTGTTCAGACAGGCTTAAGTTCTGTTGGACTTACTGATAAAAATGTTTCAGTTTTCAAATTCATCGTAGAATTAATGAGTTATTTCGGTTGTTATTTGTAGATTCTTCATAAACGGCATCGATAGAGTTTAACAGCGAACTCAAACAGACAGCTGTGAGCTCCTAATGTTTGATGGAGCAGTGCAACTTCACCCTCAGAAGGCCCTGCATGTCGCATCAACAGAGGCCTCCTGACTGACCATCTGGGATTTGCTTCATGCTTTATGTTAATAATGTCATTGTACCCAACACCTAGTGTGCAGAATTTTTGGCTTCAATCTTCTTCAGTTTCTGAGATATAGAGATATAGAGATATAGATATAGAGTCTTTAAAAAAAAAAAAAGAGGTTGTGGCCCTAATAAATGTGTTGCTAAAAAAACTGCAACGCTCCACAAGTCATTACTTTTGAACTATTCATGCTGCGTGTTTGAAATTCTCAGGGTTTGTTTCACAATATTAGATGTCTTTAACTTCTAAAATGGTTCGCCTGCAGCTGCATAACTGCGAATGTATGACTTCATGAAAACTGTATTCAAAAAAATCTTTCATCCTTCGGAGCCCACTGGATCCTCCCGCTGAAACACATCCGCTTGGTTTATATGTGTAATACTCATGTTACAGTACTTTCTTAGCAACTAGGTGCATGTCTGGAGGAAATCAAAATGTGTGATTTATGAGGAATTCAAAATGAAAACTATGATTTCACAACTGTATCTCAAGTGCATATTGCCCATGTATGGCAAAGTCTAGCCTGAATATAGTTATACCACTGGAAGGAGCGTGTTTCAACTAGTAAAGTACTAGTGCAAAATGTTACTGTGGTGGATTTTCCACTGAAGTTCAGACACTGATCAACCCAAAGATTGATAATAAGGTTAATATTGATCAATAAGGGGACACAGCTCACACAAAGTTGGCAAGTATAAGGGTTCCTTGTCCCAACAATAGAGGGCTAATCTTTTTATAGAACGAAGAACAAGGGACAAAGAAACAAACAGAGATCAGTCGATTAAATATCAGCTTATGATTACAACCAATAGTAAACATCCACGAGATACATATACATGTCTACTACTTGCGTATATGTCCTAAGACACAAAAAGAAACCTAAAAGTCACATAAAGACTCATACCACGTGCAGCTCTCGACGTCTTTAAGCATTAACAGGATGAGGAGAACAGTGGGCTTCTTCAATGTAAGAGCACGTTCACTTCTAATACACAGTCAATATCATGAGAGAAAATCGTGACTGAATGAGTATTTGACTTATGGTGGTATAAAAAAATGACAAACCAACCATTTCATCTTCTCTTGCTTTCATGTTATAGAAACAGAGACAGATGAATATCACAAAGTTTGGTTATTTTACTTTTCTTCTTTTATTTTACCTTTTCATTACAACTTATCTACCCTCGACTGTGAATGACATCTGAACATTATAACTATAGAGCGGTGCAGG